GAAGTTGAGTGATGTTGCCAAGGTCACACAGCTTTTCAGTGGTGGAGCAGGTTTAGTGGACTTCAAAACCCATACTTTATGTAGGGAAGTGTTCTTTGTGGATTTAGGGGAAAGAGGAGTAAGACTTCAGCTCTGTACTCTGGAAGGACACATTGTATTTGGTAGCATCGCATCATAATGGCCAACAGCATACAGATCTGGACAGGAGTTCAGCTGCCCTGCTTGGATTCATGTGGCAACCTCTCCAAGCCTCTATTTCCAGTAAAACAGAAGTATCTGACAGTCATGTACTTGACATGAATGTCAAGTATTCAGATCACTTAGGAGGTGGAGTCTACTGTGGGAGAGAGTCTATTTAGCTGTGGCAGACCTGGCTAAATATCCCACTGGACCTTCCAGTTTCCTGTGATCTCGCACTCACCAAGTCCTCTTCTAATGGCTAATTTGGTTTCCTGTGTAGCTGATATGACGTGATCACTAGTCATGGATATCTGAATCTATAAGTGAATATGTTTGTGTCTGGTTTCTGTATCAGCGTCTCCTGAGTTGAGGAAGTTTGTCCAGCCTGATGTAATTACTTTAAAGACCCCATTGACCCACCCATGCTCAGCATGCTCATGACCAGATGATGGAACATGTGGGGAAGACTCGTCATCTGATCTACTGTCTGGTCTGCTCACACTTGCTTGGCTTTGCTACATAGCCTTCCTTTTTATAATCAAGATCAAAATATTAGCAGCACAGTAACTACCATGGTCTGCTGTCATTATCTGAGGGCTTTACCTTGTCAGTTGTTGGGCTAGACACACACATCATGGACTCTCTTTCCTTTAGCCTTTACAAGTCCCCTCAGAGACACTTCTGTTTTGCTAGAAACAGGCTCAGAGAGGTTGTCATACGAGTCTAAGCAAGACACCTGGATTCTCGTCCAGATCTGTCTGCTCTCTGCCGTTGTGCTGTGATACTAGTTTTGTCTTAACTTCCTCTCTCCAATCTGGGCCAGTCTTCTGCCTTCGGGCTAAAACCATGTCTCCCAGAATAGTCAGCTTTGTATTGGCTGCCATAAGGAAACACTCCTCCCCTTCTGACTTGTTTGGCTCTCTGAGGCTTTCCTGTAAGGGAGTGTCTCCAAGAGTCTGGTGGGCTCTGGGTGTATAGACAAGTTTGAGTTCCTGGGCCTGGGAAGCAGAAAACCAGAACCCAAGCTCTGGTGTTCCCACCCAAGGAAATTCAGGGTGAGGGATGTGGAGGGTCAGGAGCAGAAGGGCATGAAAGGGAAGACCCTGTCTGAATGGCCAGCACTAGTGCCTTTCTGATTTCTCCTTGTCATTTCACTATCTTCCCTTTCATATTTCCATAGATTCAAAGCCCCAGGCACCAGCTGCCACTGTGTCATTGAAAGAGGCCTTGATAGACTTCCCTTGAGGAGTCATGCATGATGGGTTATGATTTCTCCAATACCAAATTTATTATGATGATGATGATCATTAATAGCAACCCCTTAGATTTATAAAGCACCTCTCTCCTAACACTCTCTTTTCTAGAGATTGTCTCATTTATCCTCACAGATCCCGAGGGATGAGGAGGAGGCAGAATTATCATTTTTACATTATGGATGGCTGTGATCAGGAAGGTTTTATTGCAGTACCTATTTTTATGTGGAACTGTGTTAGGTACCACATAAAGAGATTCCACTAAGTCATCAGGTATTTTCTGAGTGTCTTTTATGTGCCAGAATAACTCTGTGATGGTGATACCCTGTTATCCCATTTCACAGATGAAGAAAGGAAGTCTCAGAGAGGCTGTGACTTTCTTAGCAGCATATATGGGTAAATGAATCAAATGTGGTCTCTATCCTCACCAAGGAGACACGACTATAAATAATACATAGTTTTTGTTGAGTATTTACCATGTGCCAGGTGCTGGGCTGAGAACAATACAGGAGTTCTCTTTGTTAATTCTTTTAACAACCCTCCAAGTTTGTTATAATGTAGTGACCTATGATTATCTCCATTTAGCAAGTGAGGCCTAGAGAGGTTGCCCAAAGCCACACAGCTGGTAAGTGGTTGACCTTGAGAGAGGGAAGAGCAGAGTGGAGCCAGGTTGGATTCTAGCTGCAGTACCCTCTGTGTGATCCTAGTCAAGTTGCTTAACTTTTCTGTGCCTCAGTCTCCTCATCTGTAAAATGGGAGTAATACAAGCATCTATGGAATTCTGCCTTGCGTAGGTCAGCTACATGTCGCTGGGATTCAAATCTAGGCACTCTGACTCTAGAACTCTTAAACTGTTTTGCTCCAAAAACAGTTCTTCCAGGGACAGAAGCAGTAATAAATGAGCTAAGTTTCCAGAGGACACATAGTCTCAGTCTTGGTTCTAGCAGTCTGGGTCTAGTTCAATCTATGGAGAGCCGCGTGTAAGGATTCAGACGTCAGAAAGTAGAGTAGCTTTCTTTAACCCTTTGCAGTTACCCCAAGAATTGGGACTTTGGGGCCTGAGCATCTTTGTATTTCCTCTGTCCAGAGGTCATTTATTTCCTTAGAAAGACACATGGTAATTCTGCCAACCATGAAGGTCATCAGCCACCCATTAGTTATTGAAAGAGGTTTTTTTTTTTTCTGGAGGAGATTCCAAAATTGTACTTGACCACGTGTTGACTGATTTTTCTTTAAAGACGCAGCGTTACGAACATGGACCAGTCTCTTCACTAGAAACAACAACAAAAATCCCAACAAATACTGCATTACCTTCAGAGAACACAGCAGAACTGTTTAAATATGGAAAGCTTAAACTTTGCCTCCAACTAAAGTTTTCAACTAAAATCTTAAGAATTCCTTGTAAAAGACATTTATCAAATATTTTATCTTCTGAGCCCTTGAGACCTGTTTCAATAAAGTCCTATTGTTTGCCAACACAATTCGACAGAAGTTGACCTGTATCCTGTGTATGGTGAACTCTTGAAGCAGAAATATAATTTATGTGTATTATTTAGGGTAGGCAAATTCAGAAGCACTTATTCTAATTAGTACCAATACCAAAAATACGAAGATTAAATAAAGGGATAATGTCCAATTAATATTTTTGTTGGAAAAAAATCTTATATGGTATAGCTGGACTATTTAAGTCCCATGTAGGCAAAAGATATCACAAAATGTAAGATAGTCCTTAATGATAATAGTTACCACTTGATAAGCACAATCCAGCAAGTCCAGCACGGTTATCCCCACTGTACAGATGGTGGGATGTGAAGTTTTGAGGGGTTCAATATAACTTTCCTAAGGTGATAGGACCAGAATTTGGACCTGGATCTATTTGAACCCCCAAATCTACACTCTTAATTGTTGTATTATCCATGTTATACAAGTGGTAGAGAGTGAATTTGAACATAGCTTCCCTGATATGACAGCCTGTATCATTGTATAAGACCTCATTGCTTTTCTAGAAGTACCTCTGTTCTGGCTCCCTGCAGAGCCTTATTCTTTGGAGATAGTCAGTTGCTATATTTCTTTTACATGGAAGGCAAGCATCCAAGAGATGTAGTTTGAAGCCAAGACTTTCATGCTTGATTTAGATCAAGTTTCTCTAATATACACCATTATGGCACAGCTCTCTGTAAACTAAACAAAAATAATTCTAATTCCCTTCTCTTGACCTGCTAGTTTAATCAATAGGTGATTGATTCGTATTCCAATATAGCCAAAGAAGAGGGACATCCCATTGTCTTTTAAAATATTTGGTACTAAAATTTTTAGACTCAGACCTCTCTGCTATGTAGAAATAAAACCCCTCATTTGATACATGTCTGTATTTTGAAAGGTACAAAGAGGCCACATGATGTATGTTCCCAGGAACCCTGGAGCTGTCCCCTGCAGAGGCTCAAGGGGGGGTTTGATGATGGCCTGCTGTTTACAGAGTAGGAGTCAAAAAACACGGGTTTCACTGGCCCTGGTATACCACTGGAGAATTCTCTCAATTTCTCAGTGCCCCGTCCCTTCTCTGGTAAAATGGAATTGGTTTTCTCTGCCCTGTCTGCCACCCTGGAAGATCATAAGGACCAAAAGAGAGAGCACACACCACTGTTTAGAAAACTACCAAGAGCTCTGTAAACTTGAAAGGTAATTATGCTTGTGCCGGGGATGGGAGTGTGCCTGGTCTAAGGGGGTGTGCTGGCCCTGCGCTGCCCCTTCCTCCCCTCCCCCAGGCTTTCTCCTCCTACGGTTGTCCCCCTTCCCCTCCCTCTCTCTGCTCCTCTGCCTCCTTTTCTCCCTCCTGCTGGAGTTTATGACCTAGGCTAATGAGACAAATATGGCTCCTCACATCAAGGGTGGGGAATTAAGGGCTGGTTATAGCCCAATTGGATTTTCATGATCTCTTGAACAAGTGAAGGAGTGCTTGGGAAACAGGCTGCTCTTGGCCCGCTGCCGACCCAGCCCGAGTCGGGGCAGCCGTTACCCACGCTAGCTCATCGCACTCCTGGTAGACATTTCAATTACAAGTCATTACCCTTCCTTCCCTGCCTTCTTCGGCAGTGGCAGTGGCAGCGCCAGCCCTGGGTTTTGGTCCCACTTCTGGTACTTAGCGTGCAAACTTGAGTGCATCATTTAACTTCTGGAAGCCTTAAGTGCCTTACTTGTAAAATGGGGATATTAATGATAGCTGCCCTACCTTTCACACAGGACTGCTTTAAGAGTTGCATTAAATCAGGTAAGTGAAGGTGATTCAAAACTGGCAAGTTCTGTATTATTATTATTATTATTATTATTATTATTATTATTATTATTATTATTATTATTATTTTGTAGCATGCCTGGCCATTCATATTTAGTGAATTGATCCAAGTAAATATTTGTAGATAGAATATTTGTTTTTCCTCATTCTCCTGTGATTCTCTGAGATATAGAGAAGGCACTCTTACAGGAGTAAGAGTTTAATAGATGTAAAATGTTATGTATCCCATATAGAGAGTGTTAGGTCTACAGATTTCTTATCGAAATTAGAATTCCACATTTACCTGGCAGGGGAGATACTGTGATCATGAAGATGGTTTTTCCAGGGAGAGGCTCATGCATTGCACCCCAGGTGTATTGACCCCTGCAATTTCCCCAGATGTGGGAAACTCTACTGCATGATTTGTGGTAGTAGGGGACTGTATTTGTGCTTTCCCCTGGTTAAAAAAAAAAATTCCATCCAAACTCAATATATTCCTACTCTGCAACCAGGGACTCTGTTTTCTGATAACCATGAGAGCCTTGGGGACAGACCCTTATTTCTATTTTTGGCCTCCCAACTCTATCAGGACTTCCCTGTGCTAACATCAGAGATCGCTGATCACCAAAACAAATATAATAGTAAGGAGAAGTTTGAAATACTGCGAGAATTTCCAAAACATGACACAGAGAGACATGAAGCGAGTAAATGCCATTGGAAAAAATATCACAAATCAACTTGCTTGACTCAGGGTTGCCACAAACCTTCAATTTGTAAAAAATTCAATATTTGCAAAGTGCGATAAAATGAGGCATGCTGGTTTTCATGGAGTGGTGCAAATGGCTGGATTGCCTCTCCAGGACCCATCTCATCTCTTGTCTGTGTGGACACAGGCTCTATCCTGAATGGCTTATTGAATTCATGAGCTAATTCCTTTGCAGTTTGTTTTTTCTGCCAAGGAAAGGAAGCTGAGTTAATTTCACTGATGGTTGCCATTTTGTTTCTCGTCTTTTCTTTCTTGTACTGTCTAAGGTTCAGCAGTCACTGACTGTACTAACTGGGTCCTCCAAGGGCCTCTTTGCTCATACAGTTCTTAGTACTACCCCTGTATATTAAAAAAATTTTTTTTGAAGAGCAATTTTAGGTTCATAGCAAAATTGAGAGAAAAGCGATTTCCCACATAACCCCAGCCGCTGCCCATCGATAGTCTCCTCTACTAGAGTGGTACGTTTGTTATAAGTGATGAACCTACCTTGGCACCTTGTACTCATCCAAAGTCTATAGTTTAGCTGTTGGTGTTATATATTCTACGGGTTTGGACAAACATATGTGTTCATCATTTTTATATCATACAGATTATTTTCTCTGCCCTAAAAATCCTCTGTGCTCTTGCCTGTTCATTCCACCCTCCACTCCCAACCCTTGGAAACCACTGACAGTTTTGTCCCCATAGTTTTGCCTTGTCCAGAATATCAGGTAGTTGGAGTCGTACGGTACACAGCCTTCCCAGACTGGCTTGTTTTAGTTAATATGCATTTAAGGTTCCTTCACATCTCTTCAGGGCTGGATGGCTCATTTCTTTTCTTTCTTTCTTTTTTTTTGGCCTGAATACTAGTCCATTGTTTTTGTCCATTCAGCTACTAAAGGGCATCTTGGTTTCTTCCATGTTTTGGCAATTATGAATAAAGCTTGCTATAAAGATCCATGTTCGGGTTTTTATGTAGAAGGGTTTCAACTCCTTTGGGTAAATACCAAGGAGCACGATTGCTGGATCATTTGGTAAGAGTATGTTTTAGTTTTGTAAGAAACCATCCAACTGTCTTCCGAGTTGGCTGTACCGTTTCGCATTTCTGCCAGCAGTGAATGAGAGTTCCTGTTGCTCCACATTTTACAGAGCATTTGGTATTGTCAGCGTTCCAGACTTTGACCTTTCAGGTGTTTAGTGATATCTCATTGTTTTAATTTGCATTTCCTTGATGACATAGTATGAGAATCTTTTCACTTTTTAATTTGGCATCTGTGTATCTTCTTTGGTGAAGTATCTGTTCAGGTCTTTGGCCCACTTATTAAGTTGACTGTTTGTTTTCTTATTGTTGAAATTCAGGGGTTCTCTGTCATTTTGGAAAATAGTCCTTTATCTGATATGTCTTTTGGAAACATTTCCTCCTTGTCTGTAGCTTGGCTTCTCAGTATCTTGACATTAGTTTTTTCATAGCAGAAGTTTTTCATTTTCATGAAGCCGAGCTTATCAGTTATTTCAATCATGGATCATGCCTTTGATGTTGTATCTAAAAAGTCATCACATACCCAAAGTGGTCTACATTTTCTCCTATCTTATTTTCTAGGAGTTTTATAGTTTGCATTTTACACTTAAATACATGGTCCATTTTGAGTAAATATTTTGAAGGATGTAAAGTCTGTGTCTGGTGTCTAGATCCTTTTTTGGGGGGCATGGGGCTATCTAGTTGTTTCAGCACTATCTTTGCTCCATTGTACTGCCTTTGCTCCTTTGTCAAAGAACAGTTGACTGTATTTATATAGGTCAATTTCTGGACATTCTGTTCTGTTTCATTGCTTTATTTGCCTGTTCTTTTGACAATACCATGCTGTCTTGATTACTATAAATTTTATAGTAAGTCATGATATCAAGTGGTGTCAATCCTTCATCTGTTTTCTTCTCCTTCAGTATTGTGTTGGCTATTCTGGCTCTTTTACCTCTCCCTAGAAACTTTAGGATCAGTTTGTCAATATCCACAAAATATCTAGCTGGGATTTTGATTGAAATTGCTTTGAATCTACAGATTAAGTTGGGAAGAACTGACATCTTAGGATTTTAAGTCTTCCTACCCATGAACATGAAGTATATCTCTACTTATTTAATTCTTTGAGTTCATTCATCAGAGTTTTGTAGTTTTCCTTATGTAGACCTTATACATACTTTGTTAGATTTATACATTGATATTTAATTTTGGGGGAGTGATAATGTAAATAATGTTGTGTTTTTATTTTTAAATTCCACTTATTATTTGATGGTATGTAAGAAAGCAGTTGACTTTTGTGTATTAATCTTGTATGTTACACTATTAGTTCCAGGAAATTTTGGGGTAGATTCTTTGGATTTTCTACACAGATTATCATATCATCTACGAATGTCATCAGTTTTATGTTTTCCTTCCTGATCTGTGTACCTTTTATTCTTCTTGCCTTATTACAACAACAAGGACTTCCTTGAAAAGGAGTGGTCATAGAGGAGTTCCTAGCCTTGTAGCTGAACTTAGTAGGAAAGGTTATAGAGTTTTTCACCATTAAACATGATGTTAGCTGTAGGGTTTTTGTAGATTTTTTTTAAATCACTTCAGGAAGTTCTTTATTCCTAATTTATTGAGTTTTTAAAAAATCATGAATAGGTGTTAGATTTTGTTAAATACTTCTACATTAGTTAATAAGATCATGTGATTTTTCTTTTTTTGCTTGTTGATGTAATGGCTACCCCTCTATGTTTTTATTAATGAAATATAGTTTTGTTAGAAATATTTTATTTAAACATTTATTTAAATTATATTATAGGTAAGTTTTCCTCTTCTCCCTGTCCTCTAAATGTGTTCATGCTCCAGAACCCTGTCCTGAGCCCTCTTTTATATATATATATGTATTCACTTCCTGTATGGTCTCAGCCAATCCAGTGACTTACTTATCACCCATACCGAGAGAACGGGATTCTGGGACCCGGTGACCTAAAAATAATTCTAGTTCGTCCTACTCCAATTCCAAGTAAACTTACTTCTGGGCCAACTAGGTGTCAAGCTCTTTCAGTGACTGGGGATGGATAAGACCTCAGGCTTTGCTGAGGTCCCTGAAAGAGAACTGGACGGGAACTTTCCGAGTTGCTAGGCAGTCACCCAGAGAAAGCGTCAGAAACCAGGGATGAGGAAAGGAGGGAGTTGTTATGGGAAGACACTGGTTTTCAGAGAGCTTTGGATGTTAGAAGAAATCCAATGCCAACTCTTGGCAGTGTGCTCATTTTCCATCATACAAAAAGGCAGGAGGAAGTTGAAAGAGTGGGCAAAGTCTGTCCTTCTCTCCAGGTTGGAAGAGTTCAGGTAGAACTGAGAGTAGAGAAGCTACCCTCAAGAGCCTCAGTGAGGGCTGATATCCCACTCTTAAGCCACAGACTCCCAGGGTAAGAGATACCTAGCTTCTTTCAAATTGCCATAATTAAGGATATAAAAGTATTTAGGCTTGATGGGCCCCAAGAGGCAGAAGAGAATCAGATTGAACAGTTAGGACACAAAAATGGTGGAACAGATCTACAGGAGGAGATGAATGACCATCTGTGAGGGAGAGGGAGAGCGAGCGCGAATGCATGCATGAGACAGGGGACAGAATAAAACATAGCCTTCTTGGAGCTTAATAACTTAATTTTTGAGCTAAAAATTTGCCTGAGTTAAAGGAAAGGGTGATTAATATTGAGGCCCAGATCAATGATCTGGAGAAGTAAATACAGGAATCTCTCAAAATATTTCTTTGGTTTGTCTCCCCCTACATGAACTCAGTCACCCCAAATCAGAAACTGAGACATGGACTTGGGTGCAGACAGTGTGTTTTAAAGATGATTCCTGGAATCAGGAGTGAGAGGATGGAGAATGAGACAGGGAACAAGTAAAATCCAATATAAGGAAGCATTATTGAAATCACTGCTGTGGGCAGCAAGACTCAATTCCACTGGGATCTCCTGAGAAGCATCCAGAATGCTTCCTGGAACTGAGCCCTTGAAGGACAGGAGACTGGAGCATTTATCTACTGTCTCCTATTCCCCGTTGATCGAAGGCTGCCCCTGGGAACATTAACTCTGCTGCACTTCAAGATGTGGGCAGTGCTTGAAGTGGACAGCTGTCAGCACAAGGCAAGTCTGAGCACACATGGAAGTGTATACTGCAGCTGCAGTTGACATCCGAGATTGGTCAAGTGGCTGTGAAGCAGGGGCACCAGTCATATCTGTTACAAATACTTCAGCAGAACGATAAAAATAAGAAAATCTTGAAAGAAAAGTTACTGGGGGAGAAATTCATGAGACCTAAGATACAAATACATGACACTACAGAAGGAAAACATAGATGGAGAGAAGCAATAAGTAAAAACAACCCTTGATACCAGCTTCCTATTTTCCATTTCTAAGATTTTTTGACTACTTTAGGTATTACATGTAAGTGAGATCATACAGTATTTGTCCTCTTGTGACTGGTTTATTTTGCTGAGCATAGTGTCTTCGAGGTTGTAACATGTGAAAGGATTTCCTTCTTTTCACAGGCTGCATAATACTTCATTGTGTGTGTGTGTATACCACATTTTCTTTATGCATTCACCTGTTGATGGAAATGTGGGTTTCTTCCTGCTCTTGGCTATTGTGAATAGTGCTGCAATAAACACGGGTGTGCAGATATCTCCCTGATGTCCAGTATT